CTTCTATCTTATCTTGCGGTCACACAAGAACATGGGAAGTAATAGTGATCATCACTTTCTTACCTTTTAAGTTTTTGGTTATAGCACCAGTCTGTAATATATTGCCTTTTTACATTTTCCTTTCTAATATCTTGGTGGGGAGGGAAGTTCTAATGGTCTTGACTTGGGATTCTTCTGTAAATGATAATGGTTCTTTCTCCATGGATCAGAAAGCTAATGAGGGGATTGTGAATGAAATATGTCTTTTCTGGTTTTACTTTAAGGAATACAAGAAATAACCAGTGGATTTGTGGATCTACTTGGCCATTTATGATTCAAACTTGACCCAAAACTCCATAAATTTTTTCACAAATACTTTCTTTTTTCTTTTTCTTTTTTAACAGGATGGAAAAGCATATTTATTAGGGGTGGGGTTGTACAGCTGATTATTGTAATTGCTGTCAATAAGTTAGTTGTACACCTGTAAAAAATTTAATTGGCAGAAGCTTTGTGATAAATATTTGCAAAAATGGGAAAAAGAAGAAAAGAGCTGCTGAGGCAGCTTATGTTAACCAAACTGCTCACAGGATTTGGTTCCTTGATTTGGAGGTTTAAGGTCATAGTTTCATGGGACATCCCAGTTAATTGGCCTAATAGTGGATTTAGTGCTCTAAATTTGTTGTGTAGTGCCTAGGGTCTTAAAGTTTGCAGACAGCCATCCAAACACAACATTCAGTTTTTATTCACCTGGAATAACACAGATACTTTCTAATAATTATTTTTATATGATTGTTTTAACATAGTTTTGGTGATAAAATTTACTTAAGACAGATAAAATAGATTGTATGCCCCATTTTCTCAGTTTTAAGGAGATAAATCTAAATGGGAAAGAGGAAGGGAAAAGTATACTTATGCAGTTTAAAAATAACTTCTGGAGTTAAAGGTTTAAGAAGGCTAGAACATTCCCAGGCTTCTTGAGGTTATATCAACTACCAGCAAGCTGAATGTTAACTGTTTTGAAAATAGCTGCAGTGCAACTAATCCTTAAAGATGGGGACACTCTGTAGAACTTACATAGATCAAGTACAACCAAATAAAGAAGTTACGTATGTGGTACATTAAAATATGTTATTCCAAGTTTTATTATAACTAAGTTAATAAAAGAGTTGTGGGATTATTTTGTATTTGTGATTTTAAGTAAATTTACAGTACAGTGCAGTTTTCATTTTATTTTTTTAGCTTTCATTCTATAATGAAAGTATTTTGATATTCAAGTCTATCTTAATTCAGAGTTGCACACCAATTTTTTTTTCTTTTCCAAATGTTAGTATGTCAAAAATAAAATAATCTATTATAAGTAAGTAACATCTTACCCCTTAACTCCTTGGAAACCCTATACAGGATCCATATGAATTATAACTGATTTAACTGTATTTAGCACCATCAACAGCTCCTTAAATAATTGAAATTGCCAGAGACTTCGTTTTGTTTAGATCCATAATCATCGCTCATGAAAGTGGCAGTCAAGAAATCAAATGACGTATTGCATTAGGCAAGTCAGCTGTATAAGATCTCTTTAAAGTGTTCAAGAGCAAGGGTATCAGTTTGAGGGCTAAAGTGCACTTGACCTAAGCCATGATATTGTCAATGCCTCATCTACACGTGAAAGTTGAACAAGGAATAAAGAAGACAATAGAATAATTGATACATTTGAATTACAGTGTTGAAGAATATTGAAAGTACCATGAACTGCCAGAAGAACAAACAAATCTGATTTGGAAGAAGAACAGCCAGAATACTTCTTAGAAGCCAGATGGTGAGATTTCATTTCTCATTCTTTGGAAATGTTATCTGAAGGGACCAGTCCTTGGAGAGGACATCATGCTTGATAAAGTGGAGTATCAGTGAAAAAGAGGAAGACCTCAAGATGGATTGGCACAGTGGCAGCAGCAATGAGCCTCAAGTGAAGCAGCAGTAGTGAGAGTGGTGCAGGACCGGGGCAGTGTTTCATTCTGTTTGTTGTGTATTGGGTGGTTATGAGTCAGAAATGACTCAAGGGCACCTAATAACAGCAGCTATAGCAGTGGTCCCTTGACTAAAGAAATACATTACCTTTGATTTAAAATGGAAAAGAAATGAAAAGATTTTTATAGTAATTGTTTTTTTCCTATTGAAAATTTATGTACTTTAAAGGTATACAACTGTTGCAGGTTAACTTTATTTTCATAGCTTAACATCACATTACATTAATGCTTAAAAAAAACCACTACCATTGACTTGATGTCAACTCATAGAGGTCCTATCTATATAGGGTTTCCAAGGCTGTAAATCTTTATGGGAGCAGAAAGCCTACTCTTTCTTCTGCGAACAAGTCCTAGTACTAGCATTATATGTAGAAAGGGACATAACACCTACTGAACTATGTCATAGGCTGCCCACACTGTAAAATGTAGAGTGCACCCTTAGTAAAGACTCCTCTAATTACTATCAAGTTGACTACAACCCAAGTGTGGCAGAGTAGAATTGGGCTCCATTGGGTTTTCAATGGCTGATTTATCTAAAGTGGATCCCCCATTTTTAGGTAGCCAATGTCTGAGTTGCCTGTCCCCATCACCCCTGCGTACAGAGGGGGTAGGATGATGATTCCTTCCATCTTAGTTGGTATTTTGAGCTACTATAGTCAGCAGTTTGAAACTACAAGCTATTCCGCGGGAGGAAGATGAGACTTTCTGCTCCCGTAAAGATTTACAGCCTCAGAAACCCTGTACAGGGTCGCTATGACTCCACATCCTTAAGTATAGGTCAAGTTCGTCAAATTGTAGTAATTTACACTTGTTTCCTTTATCAAATTTTTTTATCTTCTTTTAGTCGAGTTGTGATCATCAAGCCATCGAAACTAGGTCAAATGGGTATTATCTTCAACTTTGGGCATTCTTGTACATATCCCCTCACTTCATGGGTTCTTTATACTTTTACAATAACATTTGAATTCTTGCACATTTTTGCCAGTATAATAATATTGAGCTGTAATTTTTATTTTTGCTAATTGAATGTATATGGAATGGCATTTTATTTTACTTTTTTTTATTTACTAATGAACTTAAAACTTTGCCATTTGTAGTTTTTGCTTTGCCACTTTGCTCATTTTTTTCCTATTATTGTCTTTTCTATTGCTTTGTAGTTTTCTTTATGTAGGTTAGAAACCATTCTATCCAAATCTTCTGTCATACATTGTTGCTTGTTGTCAGCAGATAGTCCTTGACACATAAGAATCTGATGGTTGTGAGCCATAGGTTTTTAATTGCTGATCTTTTTAGAAGACTTCCAGGTCATTCTTCCTAAATCAGTCTAAAACTGGAAGCTCCATGGAAACCTGTTTAAGTTTCATCGCAGCACATAAGGCTGTGCTTGAAGTGTGTTGACTAGGACTTGAACCTGGTATACCACAGGAAAGGTGAGAATTCTACTGTTGAGCCACCATGGCCCGTTTTTGTCATAGAGAAGTTATAAATTCTGATACAGTCAGATTTTTTTCAAATCTCTTCATTCATGGCTTTACACAGGTTAAATGCTTCTTTTCTGTTCTTGTTGTTAGGTGCCATCGAGTCTGTAATGACTCATAGCATCCCCATGCACAGTACAATAAAACACTGCCTAGTCCTGTGCCATCTTTGCAGTTGTTACACTTGAGCCCATTGCTCCTTCCATGGTGTCAGTCCTTCTTAGTGGGGGTCTCTCTCTTTTTTTCTGACCCTTCACTCTATCAAACATAATGTTCTTCTCCAGGGACTGGTCCTTTCTGATAATATGTCTAAAGTATGAGAGAAGAAGTCTTGCTGTCTTTGCCTCTAAGGAGTGTTCTGGTGGTACCTCTACCAGCACAGACCTGCTTGTTCTTCTGGCAGTCCATGGTGCTTTCAGTATTCGTCAACACTGGAACTCAAATGCATCAGTTCTCCTATGGTCTTCCTTATTCACTGTCCGACTTTCATATGCATGTGAGGCAATTGAAAATACTATGGCTTGGGTCAGTCCTCAAACTGTTATTTTTGCTCTTGAACACGTTTAAGAAGTCATGTGCAGCAGATTTTCCTAGTGCGATACATTGTTTGATTTCTTGATGGTTGTTTCTATAAATTATGGATAGAAGGCAAAATGAAGTCCATACTGAAGACTGTCCAAATAAGACCCTTTACACATTTCAGGATATGATTCAGAGCATGCATTGTGTTAGTTGTCATGTTTTATTAACACCATTTAATCTGGAACATTTATTCAGCCTTTTGTGTGTTTCTTGACCTTGACCTTCAAAAAAATACAGGTTTTTTTTCTCTTTTTGCCGACTAGTCCTCTATTTGGTTTTGTTTTACTAAATTAGTTTTAGGTGACTCATTTTTGGTAGAAATACAATAGAAATGATGTGTTCTCTTTGCGTTTGCATCATATCAGGACTCACCTGGTGGGTTATGGTAATGTCTGCAAGATTTCTCCACTCTACAATTATTGCTTTTTTTTCTTGTTGGGACATATTTTGAGATAATATCAATATCCTGTCCCTTTTCAGTGTTTAATCTGTGAGTGTATTTTGTTTATCACTTCTAGCCTCTCTACTTGAAAACAGTTTAGTTATTCCAGCCCTTAGTAGTTTCTAAAGTACTTAAGATTGTAAACTTTTATTAATATATCATTTTTACATATTGTGTAGAAGTACTTAAAGTAGAGTTTGTGATGAAAGGAGACATAGGTTGGGAGGTTGTTTATAATAACCTACTAGAAAACTGTCAATGAGGGCTTGAACAGAGTTTCTTAAAGATGCCAGAAATCACCTGTCTTAACAAAATGTTTTTTTGTCTTGCTATAAAAATAAAAAATATGGTTTATAATGATTATGATTGTCACACATAAGAGTAATAAGTTCTTGACAGTTATGATTTTAAGAAGTTTATTGCTTTAATGCCTCTAGCGCCTTTTTGACATATAGCTCTATCTCAGATCACACTTTTTTTACTTTATCATTTCAGGAGCAGTGACAGTGGCGTGGAAGAATCCTTTGTCAAGCTGGTTTACTGCTATGCTCCACTGCTTTGGTGGAGGAATTTTATCCTGTATACTGCTTGCTGAGCCTCCATTGAGGTTTCTTGCAAACAATACTAATATATTACTGGCATCTTCCATCTGGTAAGCTATCATTATGGTAGACTACAAACCATTAAAAAAATCTTTTTGTAAGTTGTTAGTAAAATGGAATTTTTCTTTTTTTAGAAAATATTTGTCATTCTTAAAAAGGTAATGCATGAGAAGGGAAGCAACCCAAATAATGCCAAAGGTTTTCTGTGTAAAGTATGTCTCTCCCTTGACCAACCCCCCAATGCAGTTATTGATACCCTTGTCTTAGGTCTCTAGTAGAAGTGTTTCAGATGTGAAGGGACATTATAGACATATGCAACAGGGTAGAAATCAAGAACAGGATCAACTAGACAAAACGTTCTGGTGATTATGATTCATATGTAATAATTTTTGTTAGCATTTTTCAGTCTTATAAACTCTTTAACATGAATTTTGTAGTTTTGAGGTGAAGAAAAAATATTAATAGCTGTTATTTTGGTTCTTACTTTTGTCAGCTATCCTCAAAAAATTATCAATCAAGTTAAAAAAATATGTTGTTGTTAAGTGCCGTCGAGT